AAAGCATTTATATTAATTTATTTTTTATTGATGACATTATGCTTGATGGTGCCAAGTCTTCCGCTTAATCGTATTATCTCACTAACTTAATTCATGTTTCTGCAGTATAGCACCTGTAGATTATGAGATGCTCGATGACCCTGGAGGGATCGATTTTGCTTACTGAGCAGAAAATCATGGATTTAACCCCCATCTCTTCGACAGCACAATAAATCGCCACCATCATTTGTATATTTGATATCGAACATTAACACTGAATCGAGAAGTGGTTTGCGTAATATTCATGAAAAAATAATAATTACATGAAAATGTATAGTAATTTTGCTCATAATACTACAATACTTCCCTCGTAAACAACACCATGATGACGTCATACTCGTTTGGCTACACTAACTGACAGATCGTTTGGCTACATTTTACTTCGCATCCGCTTATCTCTAGGATCGATAGTAGGAGAAACAATCCTATTGTTGCGATACGTTAGAAGCGTTAGGAGCCTATTGTTGTGTATAGACCTTTTTGACGTTTAATAGTCTTTCTCTATCTAGCACACATGGATGAATGAACGGTGACGAGGCTCGGTAGCTCAGTGGTTACCGTTTCTGCTTACTGAGCAGAAGGTCGGGAGTTCAATCCCAGGCCCGTCTCCTTTCTTGCAATTTTTCACTTTGCCTTATTCTATACCCACTAGATTTTAATGAAAACAAATTCTTCTTTAACACCGATCGCATCACTTACCACAGTGTGGGTCCTGATCTAAAAATAGAAATTGGATGAGTGCGCGCGCGCGTGTGTGTGTGTGTGTGTGTGTGTGTGTGTGTGTGTGTGTGTGTGTGTGTGTGTGTGTGTGTGTGTGTGTGTGTGTGTGTGTGTGTGTGTGTGTGTGTGTGTGTGTTTGTGCATTATAATCGCTCTACCAAAAAACGATCCCTGCGTGTGCGTGCAACCTTTCCCCACATCCAACATCCCGGTGATTTCTCATGGAAGCGCAGAGGATTTCTCGGTTTCCTTCACAGCGAGTACCACGTCAACACATTCCTTCCCATTCCCTAGTTGACCTGCATTCGGACACGGTCGGCGCTGGTATTGCTAAATATTAGATCTCCAGTTCTTACACATTGAGGATGAATGTTAGTCCCAAACATCATCTGTTGGTTCTCTGTGTAATTGCAGCTGATCTGGTAATAACAGAGCAGCAACCGTGGGCGGTCAAACTGATTTCTTTGATTTCTTGATAGCACACATGGATGAATGAACGGTTTGTTTTCCCACTAATCTGTTTCCCTCTTGCTCGCACTCGTTCGATTTAAATGGTGCAGTAGTGTGCGCCGATTAAACGTCAACAAGCTCTATGGAGACCTCTTTACACAGCAATAGGCTTCTAACGCTTCTAACGTACCGCAACAATAGGACTGTTTCCCCTATCTATATTATTCTCTATAAGAGCAGTCTTTTGGTCTGACTCCTGTTACCACTATAACACAGAACAGAAGGTGAAGTGCAAACAAATCGGTGAATCAAAAAGTGGTACGTTTTTCTGCTCAACAAGCGATGCGTTGAGGCAGCGTTCTACACGGGCTTTTATACGCACTAACACAACACTATCATAGTGTTCGCCACTTTCTGATCCTAAGTTCCACTTCTGTTCTGTGACTACAATCTTGAAAGATTTGAATTTTCTTATTGATTTAGGTACACCATACGGGTGCTAAGTGGATTGACATCCATGCAAAGTATCTAGGTTGTGTACCTGCAGAAAGTATCCACTTGATTGTTTGAGAGTCTTTGACAAAAACCCACTCCCAGATTAAAAATTTGATTTTTTTTTTATATCACGCACCAGTTTTCTTTGAATTGTAAATTTTTTTGAAATAATTCTCAGAACTTAAGAGGTCCATAATCTACCTAAGAATTATCTTGGAGCTGTGCTCAGAATTATCATGGAATACTCTTTAGAATTACTGTAATTTTCGATGTTCCCCTAAGCACTTCCTAAATTTTCTCTAAAAATTCTGTAGGAATTATCCTCAGATCTTCTCTAGAATTATTTTCAACATTCCCTTTCCTTCCCTTATTCGTTTCTGAGTACCATTTGAGTTCTTCTGAGAATTACTTTGGAATTATTTTCAGAATTAAAGGTTGAACCTTTTCCGGGCACGAACATCTTGTTGGGGTTCAAAAATGCTTTTTATTTTTCATGGTTCAATGGAACAGCTATACATTAGTAGGTATTATACCTTTGTTTAAGTCTTCCTTCTTACCATAGGCCATTGCTCGAAGTTTTCTGCGTACACGGTCCATCATCTTTTTCACGAGCCCTGTTCCCACCTGTTTGGCAGCCAAATTCCAGTCCCAGAAGTATCGAAAGTTAGGCTTTTCAGTCCACAACTGCAGATTGCTTGCCAGACAAGGAAGTTTTTGGGAAATTTCGACTTCGTTTTGATTTTACATTCTTCCGGAGCACTCTTTCGGTCAACCGAGGTATACAATTCCTGACCAGGAATTTGATAGAAAACTGCCAGGAGCGGATAGACCGGGATTTTTGTTTCGAGAGTGCAGGATCGAATCGCGATGCGTGCTTGCTCCGGTGAAGCCATGATGTAAACAAATGAACTTATCCTAAAAACCAATGCCTACTGTGATTCTATCAAGGGGTAATTCACTCAGCACAGTGTGCCGAAAGTAGATTCGGCACAGTTCGGGCACATCCACCGGCACAATCTCGTATGCATTGGATTGTTCAATAAATAAAATGGGAGCACTGCTGGACAGCTGTCATTGAAGTTGTTCACAACATTACGTGCTATTTGACTGTATATTTCAGAAACATACTCTAATTGAATATACTATACTATACTCAGACCAGCAATTCACTTCTCGGTTCACATTTAAATTCAAAATGAATGTTGGGCTGTCGATTGCTATCGATGCCGGTCACAAGTCTTTCACCTACTACGCAAATGGAGTGTACTACGAACTGGAATGCAAGAACAATTTGGTGGCGGTTGGATACGGAAAACTCAAAGGAGAAGATTACTGGCTAAACAACAACTCATGGTCCAACTACTGGGGCAACGATGGATATGCTTTAATGGCGGTGAAGGGTAACAACTGTGACCAACTGTGAAGTAAGATTTCTGTTGAAATTAGCATTAAGTAAAAGAAGTAGTTTTGTTTTCGGTTATGTGGCATCTTTTACGAGATGGACTAAATGGTTTTCGATTTTTGTAACATAAAATAAAAAAAAAAAAACTCAACCTAATTAACTTACAACTTACTCGAAATTTCCCGGAACTCCAACCGAACGTCTCAGCTTGGATACTCGTAGGGGGCACATATCCAACAAGTTTGTATCCACACCGGAGACATACCTTTTGTCCGTCAGAGCCTGCTCGACACCCTCCGACAGTTTAGCATGTTTCATATAAGCATCGATTATCTCTATGATGTGATCCTTGATATACTTGTTGAATACGTTGGAGTACATGATGTACCCGATTGGGATGCTGATGTCCACCGTGTCGAAGCTCTTGTCCTTGACGAAGGCTCACCACGATTCACAGAATTCACCCTGGAAGTTGTCTTTGGAGAAGACGCCCAACGTTTTGCCATCCTTGGAGTTCTTGATTGCCTTCAGCAGCTTTTCAAAATTGGCCTTGTCTTTGTCGTTTTTATCTTGAACCAACAGCTTCACCGACGGAATGCCCTCCTCACCGTCCTTCTCGATCTGCTTCCAGAAGTCGATCTTCTTGCTGGTCAGGAAAAATATGGACCATACTATTCGTATTTTACAAAAAAAAAAAAAAAACACAGCTTGCTCCATGATCGGCGCTGCCGGAACAATCGGCACACCTGCGGTACACTTGAGGCACACTGGTAAAAATGTTGACCCAAGATTGATGTGCGGAGTGACCTACCCCTTGGATTCTATACACTCTTAGCTTAATTCAGTGAAATTTTGAAAACAAAATTACTCAAAAATGCCTTATTGGCTGGGTTTTTAATGTGTCCAGATTGTTTCGGGTATTACCTTTCTACCCCTTGCGATTATTGTATGCATGGTGGGTATATAAATGGTGATACAGCTTTGTCACTATATAGGCGAGGAGGTCGCGGGGGAGGGAAAAGTGCTGTTTTAGAGCAAATTGTAAACAAACTCGGTCGCTGTCCCAACATGGCTGAATCATGAACACCTATTTGTAGTCACCTTGATTGTTTGTATTGCCTTGGACCTCTCCCTACAATTCGGTTGGAATTCTCTTCAGAATTCTATTTGCGTTCTCCTCAGGCAATGCTCCCAGAACTTCTTTATCATTTTCCAACCCGTTCACAATGTCCATGGAGTTCTCTTCAGTGATTCCAAACATTTCTTAAATGGTTCAATACTTTCCAAAGTGATGCTGACCTTTTCTGATGTGATCCAGAACTTTTCAAAATGATTTCACACTTTTGTTGTGTAATTCAGTACATCCCGAAGTGCTTTCCAAAATGGTTCCAAACTTATCTGTAGCGATTCAGTACTTGCCAAAGTAATTCACTACATACCAAAGTGATTCCACGATTTTTTTTATGTGATTCAGTACTTTACAAAGTGATTCCAAATTTTTGTAACGTCGTTCAGGACATACCGAAGTGATTCCGAACATTTTTGAAGTGATTCAGTACATCCCGAAATTATTCAATACTTGATTGATGTGTTTGATCTGATCTGATTTGTCTGATCATAGATATCCAGCCATACTGTCTGACGGGAGGATTCACGTGGAGGACGTTGAACTTGGAGAATGCATGTAGCCCGGGTCCTAATAATTTGTTTTGCTATTTTAAGGAATAATTTTATAAAATACTGCGATTTGAATATTTTTTTAGTGGCACCTTATCTCTCTCTTTGAATTTCTCCACTTCTACTAACACATTTTTTCTCGCCGACTGTCTAATTTAATTTATTTATGCCATAATTTTAATTTTCAAATTAGTTGAATTTTATTTGTTCTCAAACATTTAACCAACAATATCTTTCGGCATAGACACACTTAGATCGGCAACCACGTACGCTGCAGCTGCCCAGATAGCTGCACATTTATCCATGCTTTTTGGATCCTGAACGGCCATACTGTCCCCGGCCGAATGGTGGAACCTGAAATGCAAAAATGTACAACGTTAATGTTTTTAGGAACATAAGTCAAACCAGAGCAAGTTTATCTACCAGAAATACTTTTCATTTTTATTTAGCAGCGATGCTCCCGGAAAACCACGGCTCGTCCAGTGCGTTATATCAGGACCCCCATCGGCAGGCGTTCCGAACTCAGTAGCATTCGCCAACGACATTAGCCTTTGTTGTAGAGCGAACGACCAATTAAAACCACGATCAGCTAAATTTAAGCCAATTACTTACTTGACAACTTCTCGGAATATACATTCGGCGTCTTTATTCCCGGTGAAATCTAAACCCCTCGGCTCGAATGTTCCAATGTCAGATTCAAAGAAGAAATTGAACTCTTTCTGTTCGTTTTCCTGATGACTTTCCTTGTAGGCTTTGCCACCCCACAGACCTTCTTCCTCGCCGGTCCATAGAATAGCCCGAATCGTTCGCTTCGCTCTCAATCCCAGCGCTTTCAGATAAGTCAGAGCTTTCCACGAAATCAGTGCACCACCACCATCGTCCATGGCACCTACACCCACATCCCAGCTGTCCAGATGACCCGACACGACCACCACGGATGTGTCCGTATATGTTGTACCCTGCAGCTCGGCGATCGTGTTGCGCGACACAAATGGATCGAAGTTGCGATCCTCCATTTCCAAATGTACTGTCATTTTGTCACCCCGTCGATACTTCCTCAAAATCATTTCCGCGTCTTCCACAGTGATGCAAGCCGTTGGAATTTTCTTCACACCATCTTCGTAGTTCTGCCAGCCTGTATGTGGCGAACCAATCGAGAAGGGTGTAACCGATCGGATCAAGCTGGCCACCGCTCCCTTCTTGGATGCCACCGATGCTCCTCTGCTTCGGTAGACCACCGTTTTTCCGTAGCCCTCCCACTGTGGAACAAAGACCACGATCTTCCCTTTCACTTGATCGGGTGTGAGCTGCTCAAACTCTTTGAATGACTCCACAGCGATCACATCGGCAATGATCCCACCCCTCGGTGTGCCTACCGTTCCTCCCAGTCCTAGCAGGGGCAAATTCTTCTTGAACGGCTCCACCAACTGCGCACTTTCATACCCTCGCACCCAGTGTGGCACCGTGGCATTCTCCGTGTGCACATTCTCCAAACCATCCTGCTTCATATGCTCCAGCACATAATCGATCGCCTTCTCCAGCTGATCCGACCCAGCAGGTCGAGCTCCAAAAGTGTCCACCAGATCAGCCAAACTCTGCCATGTCTGCCCGGCAAACTCCCCACTCACGATCCTGCTAATGATCTTGTTCACAATCGGTTGATAACCTTTGATCTCCTGTATCAAACTGTCCGGCAAATTACACGATCCTCCATCATTGCTATTCACACTCAACGCGTACTGATCGACCCGATTGTCCAGCACTCCGCCTAAAACTTGCAGTGCCAGTAGTAGGATACTTCCACCGAGCAGCAGAACAAACTTAGAGCGTGATGTTCTCATGGCTTTGGCTAATGCACGACTGATCGCGTAACCCCTTCTGGATTGTCCGACAGCGGGTGACCGATAGCAATAATGCGCCTCCCGTTGAGATTGCCCTTCTTCCATTCTTACCACCGCCGAAAGTACTACAGCAAAACGAGTAACCCAACGCGAGCATCTCTATACTTTCCAACACATGTGCGCGAGTGTACGGTCTTATCGGTCAGTTGGCGCTTTCGCTGTGGGGACCACATACCTATGTAGAACGATATAAAGCTGGAATACGAATTCTCGATCGACGAGTTGTATGCTAGGGTGGCCCAATGTGGAATTAAATCGTATTTTTATATGAAACTAGCTAAGCTAAGTGCGTTCGGCCTTGCTCGGGATTCAATATTATCTGTTTCTTTGGTAACAAAACACGCCAAAAACGACGCAGAAACCATCGCCATACAAATTCCTATGGCGACGATTTCTGCGTCGTTTTCAGCGCGTTGCGTTACCAAAGAAACAGCCAATATTAGCTTGAGTTTATGCGCCGATTTAAAAAAGCATGCTATATTTTTCTGTTTCATTTATATGGGAGGGATCTCAAAACATCATAAGAACCTTTTCCGGGGTTCGAAAATTCCTGCAAATTTTCACGCCGATCGGTTCAGTAGTTTCCGAGTCTATAAAGGTCAAACAGACAGACAGAAATTCAATTTTGACGTAGGACTACGTCTTTGATTTCTATATGGGGGTACACTTTGTGAAAACCGAAAATGGAACATGTAACAAATTAAGAAAGATTTTGAACATTAATAACTCAGCTGCCCCTGGTCCAATTTCAATAATTTTATCACCAATCGATCAGAAATATGGGTACGCATAACAATGCTTCCGAATGTTGATTTACAACAATAAACTATTGAAAAACTGGTTAATGTCCAGCATTGTCCAAAAGCGTCGAATTAACTAACAAATCCACCAATTACCTACATGCATATGGTGCTTCCCCAGCACAGTCGTCAGAGAGTAGTACGTAGACGAAACAAGTCGAAGTGGCATTCGCCTCCGATCCTCGGGCGCGTGCGAATAGGGAGGATGGAAATGCGTAATATTTTGCACACTCATCGCCATATTCAGAACCAAACGCAAATTCTTCGAGATAACCACCATCCGGCGTCTGGCTCGCCGTGGTGGTGTCTGACGTATCTCCGGTCTGATCTACGAGGTGTGCTGAAGGTGTTCCTGAAAAATGAGATCCGTGATGCTGTCACCTACACTAAACACGTGAAGCGTAAGCGGCCATGGATGTCATCTACGTTTTGAAGTGACAGAGACGCACTCTGTTTGGTTTCGAAGGTTAAATCATCACCAACTTTGGCAAGAAAACGGCTCTTTTCAGGGCTACCAGCTTATTACAGTAAATAGTAGGAATAGAAGTCGTCTGCCTGTTTGTCCATATTCAGAACCAACGACCACACAAAATGCGCATGTAATCAAACTGGAAGCAGGGGTATAAATTATTTTGATCAACCTTGATCAACTTTGAATCGCCACGGCCGGATATTTTCGATGGAAGAAGCAACAATCTAGCATCTAATTCGACGAAGACGGCAGGAAACATTTGTAAAACCGAGTTATTTACGAAAGAGAGTGTCGATGAAGAGAATCGATCAATGTAGATAGGACCTATTGAAAAGTGACGCGAGATTTGTTTTCCGTACTGAGCTCCAATGCTACCGACGCCAGGGAGGCAGCTCCCACACCTGGACCCTACCAATCGACCCATCAACTCAACCGGGGACCAACGGTTTTACTTCCCGAAGGAAGGCGTGATCAGAGATGTTATGCCTTAGAACATGCCGGTGGAGCCGACTGAGATTGGACCCAGGCCAACCACCGGCACTGATATCTTTCAAGGTGATATCACGGCGAATGAGATCGACCCAAATTTGAGTTTAGTTATCTCAGAAATAAGAAATAAAGTGCAGGAAATCTGCGATTATTAAATCTTGCCTCATGTTTTCTCAGATTTTTCCAGGATTTTCCAGGGAAAAATTCCCGAATTTGAGGAAAATAAAGATTTGATTCACTCAGTGTATTGATACTACTCCGAGACTGAATAAAATTTTCATCAAATTTTCTCATCTTCTGGCAGATTTTTTAGGTTTTGCACAGGAAACCATGAGACAAATTTACTCATCGCTGAGTTCCTGCACTTTTGGCGATTATGAGTGAACTAAACTCAAATTTGGGTCGTTCTCATTTGCCGTGTACGCAAAAGGAAAAGAGGCAGTGTCGCTACTTGATAGCAAACTAGTCATAATGGGAGGAGTCTTTGTAGCTTTTATACCACTACTTGGTTGCACATCATTCTGCTTTAACCTGAAAAGATATAAAAGAGCGCTGCTGTATGGTGAACAGCAACTCTTTTACACCTAACAAGCAACAATTGTGGCAAAGAAGGAACAGGTCTGGTAAAGGAGGCGCCAAGAGTCATCGAAAAGATCTTCGAGATAACCGCCTTCGGTTGTCCGGCTCGCCGTGGTGGTGTCAAACGTATCTCCGGTTTGATCTACGAGGTGTGCTGAAGGTGTTCCTGGAAAATGAGGTCCGTGATGCTGTCACCTACACTAAACAGCCAAGCGTAAGTGGCCATGGATGTCTTCTTCAATAAAACGGCCCTTTTCAGGGCCATCAAGCTTACATCAGTAAAAAGTTAGAATAGAATTTATCTGTGCTTGTTTGTCCATATTCAGAACCACAAGCCCCCAACGACCACACAAAATGCTCTCCAGAGTTGTAATCTTGTAACCAAACTTGGAAGATTTTGATTGATTCTCTTAATCAACTTTCTCTTTGAAAAAAAAATACTACAAATTTGGTACGCCTACAATTCAAAAACGGAAAGAGTTGAGATAATAGACAATTGATCAATTAAAAGAACTAAATGCTCTTCACATCTATCCCGTCCACTAGCGGTCCTACGTCAAGCTTCCGTTCGTGCCCCTAGGCACAGACCCTTCTACTTTTATATAAGGGAAATGGCTCAATACCCCGTTCACATTACAGCCTATATCACGTAATATAGGCACTCATACATAGGATTCCCAGTGAAAACTAGATGTATGAGTGCTCATTGCAAGACAGCGTATATCACGTGATATACGCTGTAATGTGAACGGGGTATAATTTTGGCCTCTGGATCTAAGATTGGGCTCATCACTAAAAATCAGCTATTTATCAATTTTATCTAGAACAAAATATCATGCTTGATATTGATTTTACAAGCTCCTTTGATATTGCGAGACTATTCACAACGTGCAAAAATCAAGCTGAGAGTTGACTCGACACAAAATTGAATTCATTGCACATCGTTTTCTTAGAAAGAGAAAGCATCGTTTGCTATCTTTTTTTAATCTTCACTGATGGCAGACGCGAAGGGACTGCTGCAAGCCGTTATGGAAGTTTCGGTTGCCTTTGGGTGTAAAGCAAAAATCATTAAACTCAATCTCACCACAGTTTGGTGAGATTAGCAGTTGATGAGTTTTGTTAGTTTGATATTTCGAGCTGCGATATCACAGCTTACAAAATCAACCGCAGTTGTTTGCTTGTTGATTTTTGTCTACGAAAATCAAACGTGATCTTGGGCGTTGGTGAGATTTGATTTTTTGATATTTTCCAAACACTGCTGGTCGCTATTAAAAATTTACTCGATTGCTGAATTTATGTATGGGCCCTAATTAGGGGCATTTAGGCCGACATTACATTTATTTTTCCTATATAGATATTTGCTCGAAAATTTAGATCGATTACCGTCTTGCCCTGCTCTCTAAAGGGCCACCCACATTAGATCCGTTTGCGTTGCGTTGACGTAAATTTGACAGTTAGACAATAGATTTAGCTGTCACTTTGCCGCAACGCGTCCGATCCGGATCTAATGTGCGTGGGCCTTAAGAATAGCCTAAATTATCTCGTCCATTTTTTCTAAGATGATGCATTAGGCCAGATGCTAACAGGCTGAACGCCATTTGACCGATAGGCTAGTCCAGTGTGAGCCAATTTAAAATCATTAGTTTCCACCGGTTCTGTTCTCTTAAAATCTCAGCATTTTAATTGATCCATTGAGTCGAAAGCATCACTAAGTAAAATAAGATATTACAAATACAACAAAATTTGCCCATGTTTTAATTATCTTGAAAATTCACATAGATAGGGGAAATGGATGTAATGTCGGCCTAAATGCCTCTAATTTGGGCCTATACCTAAATACCCAACAAACAATTCACAGTCACAAATAAGCATACACATTGAATAAATGCTGTATAACAGTGTACAATGCTGAATAAAACAAGATGTCGAATTATGTGCTGAAAAAAGCTCATTGAGATCGATAGATGCGCCTTTATTCCGCCGTTTGCTCTGATATGATTAATTAACTTATTAAAAGCTTTATAAACGTTGACTGTCTTCCTGATTCAGAACCAGAAGTTTGATCTAATAACAAACTGAATAAGTGTAATTTTCACATACATTGTCGCTTTAATTCGACTGTTTTCAATTAATCATTTTGTTCGACCATTTTCCACAGAGATGGCGCTGTTCCGCTGGTAGGAAGTGATAAAAATCCCCATATAGAAATTGAGAGAAGTAGGAATAATTCGCTTTCGGCGCATATTCAGGTGAAAAAAAGTGAACGACAACCTAAAGAAATTAATCAGGGACTTTGTCTTTCAGTTTTTTCCCGGAAATTATTGTTAAACAAGCTACAATTAATTAAAAATGATTTTTCCCCATACAATTTTACCTGCTTTACTACCAGTCCCCAAAGAGCCAAAAAATTCAAATTTGAGAGAGAAAATTCTCTTTCACGAGCTCAATCTCTCAATATGCCATGTATATTGATGACACTCGATTTGTGATTTCCCTTTCACAGATTACAAAATAGAGTACCTGACACTACAAAACATCTCTGGTACCTCTATATATGCATTTGCTTTAACATTTGAAGTTTCTCCTTTTTTACATATTCTGCGCAAAATATACTTTATGCTCCGCCCCATACAAAAAATTCGGCAGGAAATTCTGTGAGGGGTGAGCTATTTTGTGTGCAGAATGTGTAAAAAAGGAGGGACTTCG